GTGCTATTGATGGTGGATCTGACATTAATGTCCATTTTCTTTGAACTGACTCCAATACAGGGAATGGATTTAGAAAGAGAATCTGATCATTCTTCCTATAAATTGAGTTATGTGTGTTTATTTTGTTATTAAAGACAGGGTCTTCATATAGCTCTTGCGGCCTGGAACTTGATACATAGACCAGGCTAGCCTAACTCACAGAAATCCACCTGCCTCTCAAATTCTAGAATTAAAGATGTGTACAACCACACCCAGCCCATACATATTTATTAAATACATGCCTTAGGGAAAATTAGAAAGAGAAAGTTATTCACCAAGTGGCTGCTGTTTACACTGGTTGGTGTATGTAGTAACTATACATTTTCTAATGCAGACAGACTGATGAATGATGAAAGAGAAACAAAAGTTATGTGATGTGGCTGTTGCATGGGCAGTTGAGGACAACTTTAAAGGGATATGTATGAGCTAGCTCTAACAGGCAGTGAAGAATATGCAGATAAGGGTAGGTCATTCTATGTGAGGGAGGCAACAAAGAAAGATACCAAACAAACAAAAATCCTCCTCAAAACCCAGGAGTAGCAATAGCTATCTCCAATATTGATAGATCTCAGACTTGATGGACTTGCAAGAGACAGGACTGCTTAGGAAAGTCCAGGAGGATAGTTTCCAGTATGAGTAGGGACATGCTAGTGTTTTAAACACATAATCTCATTTAATTTCCTGTCTCATCTCTAAGAGGAACATGGAATAGTATTCCTATTTTTATTGTGCAGAATTAAGACTCAGGATAATTAACTTAAGGGAGCACTTGCTATTAGTGGTTGAAAGAAGCAACTTCACATTGATCCTCTCCAGCAAGGCAAATAAACAAGGCTGGTGTAGAATACCTGTCTTTCATACCTTTAAAACACACCCGGAACTACTTGGCCTAACTTTAAGTGAGACAAATGCAAATCCAGATTATGTTATACCTTTTTATAATAGAAAAAGAAAGAAAGAGAGAAAGAAAGAAAGAAAGAAAGAAAGAAAGAAAGAAAGAAAGAAAGAAAGAAAGAGGAAATGGAAAACATCACTTCTAGAGGAACCTGGCAATGGATCCAATATTAAAATGGTATCAGTAATACATTTTTATATGCTGTAATTTTTTCCTTGCTCCACCATCTTTGCTACATATGTTCTGGGTATTTGCCATGCAGGAAGAATGTTAGTGCACAGGGAAGCCTGTCTTGTCTAGAAGTTGTGCCAATCTTTATAGGAGAGGCTAAGTCCACTCTTACTTCATACGCTTTCCAGACCTGAGCAGCTTTCTTTTTCAATCTTTTCTTTCATTTCCCACTTCCCCCTCCCTCCTTTTTCTCCTCCTCCTCTCCTTATGTCATTTTGTGTCATTCTTTCAATAAGTATCACAAATTGCCCTCCAGCAACTAAAACCCAGAAAGGATACACCGGGAAAATACAATCTCCATTAACTGAAAAAGTTACACACGATACAGTACAGCCTCGTGTGGCTTTAACCATATCCTGTAATTTGAAATGGGTGAGATGTTTCTTTTATTAAGTCATTGCTCTTGTGCTGTCTGCTATAAGAGTTTCAAGAATATATATTTCAAAAACATTGGAAAAAATAATCCCAAACAAATGCAGCAGAGCTCTGCATAGTTGAAACATATTGTCTAAATTTATCTTAAATCTCTGTGTTCCAGAAATGTTTCTGTGTGCATGAGTTAGGCCTGGCCGGTCGTTTCTTCATCCATCTATACCCTGGGTGGATTGTTGGAGCAGAACAGAATGACTTCCATATGGTCCCACTTGGCTGTAGTTTGTAGGGCCTCTGGGTTGGAACTATTTGATCAGAGAAGCCAACCGTCACAGTACTTTGGCTAATGTCAAAATCCTAAATATATACATGTCCACATATATCTGTTCAGAGCGAATCTATTCCTCTTTGAACTAGTGGTGTCCTTCCATGTGCTGATTGGTAGTTTTTGTTCCGAAAATAATTGATGTTATTTTTTAAGAGCAACCCTCCTAGCTGTGTGGACAGTGATATTTTGGATAGGTGTTATGTCATGTGTGTGGTTCAAGGCTGCTGTTGAAAGCATGTCCCATCATCTTCCTAGAAATGGACAGAGATGGAAATGCAAAGATAATCTTGGGCAGAAATCTAAATCTTAAGTTTGTCAGGAAGCTCATTGGATGCCTTATAGCTCATCTCCTTTTTTCTTGGTGTTAGTACTTAAAAGGACAGGGGACTGGTGTGAGCCCTCTTAGTTTAGGTGTTGTCATCTGAGGTGGATGACTGTGGCCTGGGCTGAGGGGGCCTGCATCAGTTATGGGTGAACAAAGCTTCTGATGGCATCTACCCCTTTGGGGCCTTTCTCCTTGTTTTTGTCTTTTCTCTGTTTCTTCTTTTTCCTTCTATTCCTTTCTTTTCTTTCTTTCTTTTTTTTTCCATGCCTCCCACTTCCCTTCCCCCTTCTGCTCTTCCTTTCTCTGTCTGTAAAACCACGTGCTCCAAGTCTGTGTATCTGGCCTGCCTTCCCTCTTGGTTCCCTGTGAGTGTTAGCAGAATGAAAGCCAGATGGACCAGCAGTTCCCACTGTTATCTCCCTGCAGACTCTGGCAAGCCTCCCTCCCTCCCTCCTTTCTTGGCATGACACAAGTATTTGCCTTTATTTAGGGAGACTGTATTCGCTGCTGTACCTCTTTCCTGAACTGCAGTATAAGCGGAGAGCTATTTATTCTCTTCTTGCTGAGGTTGGTTGAGGAGAGTAGAATGTGCGGTGGATTTATTGAAGCTTGCCTACCTTATTTATTTTACCAAAATAAGTGATTATGACGCTGGTTGTTAAGTGCTCCAGGGTAGCAGTATGAAGACACGCTTTGCCACAGTAAGGTAAAAGGTCAAGCAACGTGTGCTGTGTCACTGCCATCATTTCCCTCATGGCACTTCTCTCGGCCTAGGGTTATTCAGGGTTATTAAGCCTGTAGAAGAGAGGAAGACAGGAAGAAACAGCCTGACACTGCTGATGCGGTCATGAGGCTAGATGTACTTATTATGTTGATGTCGATTTTCTTTTATTACATCATTCCTAATATGGTGTCAGCATTAGTTCAACTTTTCAAATGCTCTATTATATTGTACCCCCACATTTTGTGAAAAAAAAAATTTGTTTTTGAGGGCAGGTCTTACTAAGTAACCCCCAGGAGTTCAGACCTCTGTGTAGACCAAGATGACCAGATTTAAAGCAATCCTCCTGCCTCTGTCTCTCAAGTGCTGGGATTCCTGGTGTGTGCCACTCACTATACCTGGGTAGGAAATTGCTTTTGTTTGAGTTACAGTCTTAGGTATTTCAAGCTGTCCTTGAACTTCCGATTCTCTTGCCTTCACCTCCCCAGTGCAGGGATTACAAACATGTGCCATGAAATCTGCCATAGGGAGTTGCTTTGAAGAAAGATGAACTAGGTTTGGGATTTTAATAGTAGTAATTTTGGGGTTTAATTGACTTTAAAAATATTAATTTAATTTTACTTGTATGTATGTGTGCACCTGATATGTATGTATGTGTGTGCCTTGTTTGTGTGAGTGTGTGTGTGTGTGTGTGTGTACCCTGTGTGTGAACCCTGTGTGTGCATAAACCCTAGAATGTTAGAAAAGGGCATTGAACCCCTTGGAACTGGAGTTACAAGTGATTGTGAGCCACCATATAGGTGCTGGGAACTGAATCCAGTAAGTCCTCTTAACTACTGAGCCATCTTTCTAGCTCTCTGAATATTTAACTTTCAAGTCAACTTGAGAATTGCTTCTTATAATTTTAATAATAGTTCAAAAGCCCTGCTCTGAATAGTGTTTAATTTTACCTTAAAAAAAAAAACTACAAGTGAAAAATTTTGTTTCTAAGGTATAGAAATACGTCAAAAATGTTTTTGGAATATCTGTCACGTGTCTGTATAAAATTGGATCTAAAGGCACAAACAAGAAACTATTTCATTTTTAATGAGAAATCTATTGCCTTGAAAATTATATTAGACTCAGAAATAGATGGAAATGTCAAGGGAAAAATATACTTAGAAGCCCCATGTTCACACTGTCATCCATCACTAGGAGACTGAGGAGGAGATAAGAAGATTGATGCAGGTTTGAAACTGACATAGTGAGTTTCCAGGTCATCCTAGACTACAGAATGAAACCCTGTCTCAGGGCATCAAGGGTATATGGGAGAAAAGGGAAGTATACTTAGGAAAAAACAATTTGGGCTTATATAAATGGCCATCATTGGGTAATTAGGGGTTTGTCCATGGTCCTTCTTTAGCTTTTATCAGTTTTTACTTAGGGATTTTTATATTCTAAGATTATCAATTGGAATGTTGGTCTCATGATTGTAATGGGACAGACCATAAATTCACACATTCTATTTAAAGAATAGCTTAACTTTACTGTAGGCAGAGCATCTTTAATGTAGGGCAGATAAAATGGAAGATCTGGGGAACATAACTTGTTTCATTTAATTGACCAGAAAACTAAGCAAGGCAGGGGTAGGGGTGTCACAGGAATGCACTGT